GTACAGATTAGGGGTGGACCTGCTAGAAAGCAGCTCCACGGAGAGGGACCTGGGAGTCCTGGTTGACACTAAGTTAACCATGAGTCAGCAGTGTGCCCTCGTGGCCAAGAAGGCCAATGGGATCCTGGCTGCATCAGGAGGAGTGTTGCCAGCAGGGCAAGGGAGGTGATTCTGCCCCTCTACTCAGCTCTGGTGAGGCCGCACCTGGAGTACTGTGTGCAGTTCTGGGCACCCCAGTATARGAGGGACGTGGAGCTTCTCGAGAGGGTCCAGAGAAGGGCAACCAGGATGATTAAGGGAATGGAACATCTCTCGTATGAAGAGAGGCTGAGTGAGCTGGGCCTGTTTTCTCTGGAGAAGAGACGGCTCAGAGGGGATATGATTAATATGTATAAGTTCAGGAAGGGAGAATGCAGGGAGGAAGGGGACAAGCTGTTTTCACTGGTGGCCAGCGACAGGATGAGGGGTAATGGCCAAAAGTTGGAGCACAGGAAGTTCCGTCTCCAGGTGAGGAGCAACTTCTTTACTGTTAGGGTGACAGAGCAGTGGAACAGGCTGCCCAGGGAGGTTGTGGAGTCTCCTTCTCTGGAGGTCTTCAAAACCCACCTGGATGCCACCCTGTGTCACATGCTCTAGGTGTGCCTGCTGGAGCAGGTAGGTTGGACTAGATGATCTCTAGAGGTCCCTTCCAACCTTAAATATTGTGTGATTCTGTGAATTCTGTGATTTTGTGAACCTACCTGAAAATTATTATTCCTTGGCAACAGTAGCTCAGTTCCTTACATCAAACCTTTATGCTATGTGTATACAGGTATAATCATACATTTTCTATCACAAGTGCATAGTCCTATGGTATCCAAGTACCCAAACAGCACAATATAAACTTACATACGAATAACACCTTATTTAAGGAAAAAAGATCATATCAGTTTAACTGAAGGTTTTTCTAAACCAATTTGATTGTATCACTTAGTGGGAAGGAAATTCTTTTACTCCATCGTTTAAAACCAGATTCCTCAATCTGTCTTCTTGTTCTCTTTGCATCTTTGCCAGACACTCATGTTTAATCAAAATAGCCCCAATTTTAGGCTGCTTGTCAATGGTTGAACAAGAGTACGACCCACACCATTAAATGATCAGGTATGCTCAATATGCAGTAGCTGCAACTCAGTAKGTCCTGCTACATACACAAATACTTGGAGTTTAAACTTCAGAAAGAAAAAAATGTGGTACCTCCCTTCTAATGTCAGTAGGCCCAAACAACTCAGAAATACTGACAAGAAGTTACTTTATAGGAGTAGACACCTGGTCCTCATTGGATAAGAACAATTGCATTTAGGAATGACTAATTCGTTTGATGATAGTTGTAGAATCTCCTCTTGTTTGTTTATTCCCACAGTCTTTAACATAGTTGTATGCTCAGATTTGGTTAGGAGGTGTGAAAATTCCTTAGAGGTCATGCTAGCTCAATGAGAACAGAGGCAGCCTTTGAATRTCCAAAGTGGTAGGTAGGTCAGGACTGATGACCTGGCCATCCCAGTGTTGCTCTAATTCTACTGCAGTTGACAAGACAGAAAATGAAACTTTGCTCAGTGCATACCTTCGTACAGAYGAAAAATATTTGTTCCCTTGAAAGGTAGAGAAGGGGACTGATTTTCAATTGCTATATTGTTTGTGTGTTGGCCAAAAGCCAGACTGTAACGTCATGTAGCCTACTGAAAGATGTGTGTGTATGTGTGTGTGAGACAGAGAGACTGGTTTTTGTAACATTTCCAAAAAAGTGTTCCTGCTGTAGAGATGTCACTTAACAAATCCAAACTATTCTTAAAATAAAACTACTGTTTTCCATCTATGCACAGTGGTTTGCCCAGATAAAATACGCTGCATTACTTCACCTACAGACTTACAGGTGCCTATTTACATAAGGGAGCTTCCTCATTATACTTTTTATTTTGCTATTTTCCTCGGATGCTGCTGCTAATAAACATAACACAGGTTCTCCACTATGCAACTATTTCAAAGGTTCGGAAGTCAATCTTGAAAAAAAAAAAATCTAGTTGAATGTAGGTAATTTAAATAGTTGTATACTTGCATTAGTTGTATATTACAAGAGCAACAGCAATGTACTTTTGAAATGGGAATATTAAGAAGAAATCCAAGCATTCTGGATTTTCTTAATTCAAGAACTGTTTTGTTCACAGAGAAGCAGAGAGAATGAGATGTTGCRGATCATCATACTAGCTAGTCATATTATTTAAAATACCTTAACTAATGATCTTTTAAAACAACTATATATTCAGTGAAACTGTTCTTCATTTTACTATATAGCACATTTTCATTCATTAAAGTCCAAATCCTACTAATGCTAATGTAAATCATGACATATTAATTACTTATTTCCTATAAATATTGCAGTTATGAGACGTCCCGGAGACAGAATTTCTGAGAGTGGAAAAGGAGAAGAGTAAAAAGAAGCTGACAAGCAGGAGTAGCAAAAAATTCAAGCAAACAACTAAAGTATCAGAATTAGATGAAAACAAAATTAACTACTTCTCTGGAACTTCAGTAATATCTTATGGAGCTTGTAATGGAAAAAATTCCTGTTTTATCAGTTGGTCAGGAAGGATATTGAAGTTTACAGGCAACCTGAAAAAGTCTTGGTAAAATGCCAAATAGAGGAATTCATATTTATGTTACAAATTTACTGTAGAGGTAGTGTGGATTATTTCATTGATCTAGAAAAAGCATAAACTGACAGAGCAAGATATAAATAAAAAACTTGTAATGAAACCTTTCATTTAACATTTCTATGATTTTTTCAGCTTATTGTAACCTCTAGTTCGACTTTTGTCATTCCTTAAGCCCACACATATTTTAACAAATATTGCAGGGCACTGTCAGAGAAAATAAATAATATATTGACATTAAGTAAAACTCTACTTCTACTGTAAAACACTTTATTTAACAATGTAAACAGGGCACAAATTCACTTGACTTTTAAAGATAGAAAATTAACTTTTTGTGGTCTTTTAATAATTTGGCATATTTTTTTCATAAGGGAAAAAATGTTGAAAAGTTGGCTGCACTGCCATTATTATGATTCAGCTCCATATTTTTTCCCACTAACTTAATAAGGTAAGTAATGAATTAGTTAGTATGAAGCAGTGATATGAAACCACCTCAAACACAGGACTGACCATAATTCATTCTTATCTTAAGGAATCACTGTAGTCTATCAAATTATCATTTACTACCTCAAACTGAACTAGAGAAGTTATTTTAGCCTGCTTAAATACAGTTTTGCAATTCTTGAAGCACATCTTCATAATATATCAGACTGTGAAGCCCATTATCAAAAAAGCCTAAAATACCAATCTTGCACTGCTGAAGAGACTTGTTTGATTTGTTTTGTTGATAATTGAAGTGACAGTAATTAGATGTGAGGTTTTTCAATTTTACTGTAGAGCTGGAAAAGACATCACCGTGAGAAAAAAATATAAAACAAAATCTGGAAAAATGAGATCAGTAGATGCTGGTTCTTGCAGACCTGAAAGGAATGACAGTTTCAAAGTCATGAAAAATTGGAAGAGGAATGAGCATGGATATGGGAGTATTTTACTCGAAAAAGGAGAAACCAAAAGCACAGAAATGCAGTAGGGAAGAAGGGTATCGGACTGACAGGCAAATGAAATATATTTGAGATTTAAAGGTTAAAGCAACAAATCTCTTTGAAAATTTTAAAACTGCTATAATTACAATCACATAAATCTATGATAAACATTACTAGAAAAATAATACAATAATGAAAATGGAGGAAGGAATCTAATTGACTGGAATGGGTCAAAAGTTTCAAAAATTATTAAAAAGAGCAACCAGACAGAACAGGCAAAGTGAATGCACAGCATATATCTCCTCAGGAAAATAAAGAGTGATAAGGTTGGAAACCAGGAACAGTATGCAAGAGACCAATTAAAAGTAATGATTTGATAACTTTTAGTGAGAGACTCTCACATATAAAGTTTTCTGGTTATATTGTAGGTAAAAAAAAAAGGGGGGGGTGGATTTCTCATATAAAATTAAAACAGAAGCAGTTTTCAAAACTTATCTTTACTGGAATAACAGAGTGGTAGCATATGAAGACAAAACATTAAAAATATGTTTTTATCAGAGACTTATTGGATGATAATTTGTATTTTAACATTAAGTTGATCACATATTTACAAACAATATGTGGACATATGGATATTATAAATGTATTTTCATTGTGCAACCTGAACATTCAAAAAAATCTTAAGCACAATGACATATTTTAGTTAGCCAAGTTTTTGCAAAAAAAATGGCTGTGAATTTAATAAAAACATTTCACTTTATAGTACTGATTTCTCTGACTGAAATTACTTCAGCTTAAGGCACTGCTGTTACTAAAGGCTTCTTTCAAAACCTGCCATTGCTTGGTTTGGACAGACCACTAGGTAAAACCAGCCAAAATAATGTAAAACTATTTAACAATTAATGCAATTGCCTTTTCTCCTAGAGCGGTTACTGTCTGCCTAATTTCAGCTTTGCTAAATATTATGAATGCATCAAGACATCACATTCTTATCTAGTGCATTTTCCCATATGTTAAGGAAAACAGAACTGTGAACCATTTTATGAAACCACATTGAGAGTTCTGATAAATTTTCCTGGGGTAGTCATTTTTCGTAAATGCAATATTTCCTTCTCTCTACCCTCTACTCTAGTTGATTAAAATGAGAGGTTTTTAGAAGCAGTGGTCCAAGAAACAAGAAAAAGAGCTGCATGACTGGGAAAAAATTGCAATCGAATATCTTATGACAAGCACTCACAATACAGTGCAAGCTTTATGTGTGTGTGGATAATTAGTTACCTCCAAATTGTGCTGAAAGCCTGTAATAACCTGTAATTCAGATCAGATAAAGGGTGACTTTCTTCAAGGATGTATTTTTATACAGAAATTTTCACGTTATGTTTGTTCTTACCTGTAGCAGAGCTGCAAACAAATATACTGCTATAAAGATAGGAGTTAAGGATGTATGGCCGCTTTTCATTAAATGGATAGTGTACAAGAAAATTAGATGCCCAGGGATCACCAGAAGAAGCAGAACTTGGGCTGATTTGTTATTCACTCCTAGAACAGAAAATTCAAAATGCAGTTAAGTTCCTCAATTACTATGTTTTTCTAAAAAAGTAGTTGAAATATAAAAGACAGTTTTGTGGAAAAGCATTATTTTCCACAGAAAGACTCCTTGAGGGATTCCCCTGGGAGGTGAAAGGCATTTCTAGATTCTGCCAGCAAAGCTAGACAAGATCCTTCCAGAAGAGGGTACAAACTGTTCACTTTGAATCAGTACATTTTCTACAGTCGTTTGGTTTCTGTACACATAGTTTTCCATCTAATTTTTGAAGCTGCAGTRATTTCCTACCGTGTTCCTAGCAGAGAGGACATTTTGGATTGCATATTCAAAACTTATCCTTAGAAGAATCTTATATTTATGAAAAGTAGTCCCACATTTACTATTTTCTTTTCTGCCCCAATCCACTTCACAACTATGAAAGTGTAACAGATGCAACTGCAAATTCAAATTTCATTATAGTTACTATATTAGTAGGAAAGGGAGAAATGAATTGGGGGCCACAAATGGAAGAATAAATTGGGAAGCACAAATCTAGAAAGGAAATGGCAACGGAGAGTGGAAAGCAGGGACTAATCTTAGTAACTGTGGTAAAAATAAAGTTTGGTTCTAACCGGACACTGGTGTGAATTTCTGAGGTTAGATGACAGAAGTTAGGAGCAGATAAGTGAGCTAAGGCAAGACAAAGGTTGAAATCCTTATTAGTAGGTATCCTCAATCAATCCCCACCTTTCACTCTTGTGAGAGTTATAACTTTATCCCTACTACTCTACATGCATCCCCCCCATCAGTTAAACATCTGCAGGCAAATGAAACTGTGATGCCTCTGATGCCTTTGAATCACGTACAGCAACTTATTTTGTTGGGGGTAACTGGGGTCATATAAGAGGTGGGATAGCAGGGAAGAGACATCAGACACTAGTTTTAACAGTTTACTGATACATACCTGTGCCATAATAGGTTTTGCATGGATAATAGCAACCCTTTGCTTCTTCTGGCAGTTCTCCAGGAATGCTGTGTAAATGGAGGTAGGTAGAAATTCTGCTAGCTTGAATAGCTACTAGATTACCACCAATACCTGAAAAGGACAAGTGGTAGACTTTCAATTTCTTTTCCTCTAATATGTAATATTTTTGAAGATCTACCAACTTTGTTTAGGTTTAGCACAGCCCATTAAGTGCAAGGTCAAATAGAAAAGCACCTTTAGAATGTATATTACTTATTGATGAGCTAACACCTGTTATTAAACCAGCAGAAAATCATGTGACAGTTTCATGTATCAATGAAAAGGAATATTTGAAGATTAATTTTAATTTGTAATAAATGTTAAAGCTTCTCCCCAAAGGTACACCCTGATACTTTCTTGTGTGTGAAGCTCCCTTTCAAAGCTCCCTTTTCTTTGTCAATCCCTCAACAGGAGCAGTACAAAGCTGTGCCACTGCTGGATTACCTCCTTAGGGCTGTATAGCTGGCAACTATAAATAACACAAAGCAGATGCACTAATACAAGCATAAATATAGGTTTTCACAGAAACACAGGTCTGGAGAAGTCTTCAAGAGATGATCTATCCATTCCCCTTTGCCACAGAGCACAATTAACAATAATCTTCTGTCACTTAAAAGTCAGGTGGAAAGGACAAGTGTTTGGCTAACTGGTCTTTAAAATAATAGCAGCGACGGAAATTCTGCCTTCTCCCTGAGCACCTTTGATATGCTTGCCATCAGAAAAAATCTCTCTATGAAATGACTTTGATGTTCAGTGAACTTAACAAACAATATATATCTGTGTCACACACTGCATGGCATACAGATGGTACCAAAGGGAGCTTGGTGGTGACACAGCAGTACTAACACACACAGAATTCTCCTACTGCTACTATGCTCTAGAACTGTCTACTTCTCAAGGTTTTTTCTCCCCCATATTCTTTACAGAGCAATGACTTACTCTGAGAAGAAATGGCTAAGCAGAAGTAGATACATGAATTAATATGGGTCTTGTCTTACTTAGGAAAGAGAAAGGCCTTGCTTAGCATGGTTAAACTGATTTGTTTATCTGATACTTTGCAGTTTGTTTGGTAGCAAAAGAAGTGTCTGTGGCTCATCAGAACCCCTGTACTATGCTGTGGTGAGGAGAAAGATCTAAGAACTCAATAAAGATTTCCTGCTTTGTAGCTGCTTAAAGATACTAAATGGCAAAACCGAAGAAGAAAGCACAGATTTTAAACAAAAGGTTCACAGTTACAATTAGGAAAAAAAGGTACAAGCAAAAAAAAACATGTGGAATTGTTGAAAATAATTAATTATCAAAGAAATTTGCATCCACACAGTTGGGAAATACAGAGAAAAACATGTGAGCTAGCAGCAAAGCTGAGTCAGTCTTTGGAAAGAAAATTAACCTTCTTTTCAGACATATTACAGAACCAGAAGTAAAAAAAAAAAAAGGAGTCAAAACAAAGTTAAGAACAATCTAAGTAGGGCCCCAAAGTTTATCTTTTGATGGGTTACATTATGGAAAATAGTACTGAGACTCCTGACTAATGAGAATAGTATGGGATAAAAGCAATCATCTGGGCAATATGGCAGCATGGGGTAAAAGCAATTACAGGCAAGATAGCAACTGCAAAAATTGACATAATCAAAACAATATTAAAAGATAAAATAACTAAAATCTTCTCTCATTATCCCTACCTTTCATAGTATTATGAAAAGAATAACAGAAATAATTAGGACTATCTTTCAAGACATGTTTTGAGGCTTGTAGCCACTTGTAGCCATGCAACCATCAAAAATGTTGGCAAAGGACACAGATTTGGATAAATGACTTGGATAAAGCTGATTTTGCATTAAATGTATCCTTCTGACACATGCAGTTTATTTTCCTTAAGAGGGTTTACTTTATGTTTGAAGTTATCTCAGCAAGATCAGATTCATCATAGGTTGACAAGAGGCCAACACAGCAAACTGATAGTTTCTCAGCATCTAGAATCATAGAATCATAGAATCATAGAATGCCGAAGGTTGGAAGGGACCTCAGAGGTCATCGAGTCCAACCCCCCTGCTCACGCAGGGTCACCCAGAGCACGTGGCACAGGGCTGCATCCAAGCGGCTTTTAAAGATCTCC